TTTGTCGTACTTTTGAGGCAAGGCAGGACATCAAAGAGGAACCACTCTTTGGATTTCTCAGGGCACTATCTCTTCTGTTAACCTTTCAAGAGAAGAGGGGAAAACGCTATATTCTAAGCATATTATAGGAAAAGTGAGACATACAAGCACCGAGATGGCCACTTTCCTGAGAAGAGACAACTAATACAATGGGTCAAAAAACTGGAGCGGTTACACGTTGAGATGGTCACTGAAAAGCCTATCAGAAAAGACACCGGCTTCATAGTCAGGAACAAGCACTCAAAGCAACACCAAAATGTTGGAATCTCTAGTAAGACTGCAGACAGCAAAAAAAAAATCCAAACCCAAAGCCTCACCGTGACCCTCACATTATGAAACATAAAAAACATATCTGATGGGGGATCTTATAGATACAGTATACATAAACAGGTCAAATGTCAGCCAAAAAAGAGAAATGAATGACAGGCAATCACCAGCTATGCTGAGTCTGAATCTGTCACTATTTTGCCTTGCCACGACCTTAATCTGTGAAGATATCAAAAGCAAAAGCCAGTGCTCCAGCAAGGGTTTGTGGCTTTTTTTTCCCTGCAGGATCAATCATTCAGTTAAGAGAGCACTTAAATCAACCTGCACAAGGCTTTGAACTCATAATCAGGTAAGTATGTGGGCTCTCTAGCACGTGTCTTTGGAAGAAAAGGGCAAGATCTCACACCCCGTCACACTTATCTAGAAAAATGAGAGGAGAGTCAAGCAGCGACACTGAATTAAACATTAAATCTTTTAAAATAAATAAGTTAATGGATGTTAATAATTATGTTATCTCAGTAAAATGCATTAAAATTTTCTATTAGTCTTTCTTGAAGGCTGTACTGATGGACTGTATTTATTATAGATAGCATAACTCCTGTTTTGAATTACCAGTAGCGAACATTTTATAAATCACCCAGGCTTTTTCCTGACGTATCCCCACAAAAATGCCAAAAACCATAGACCGGCGCAAGCAATTAATAGCATGATATCATAAGATTATCAAAAACGGTACATCTGTGCACTGGTTCCTATCTGTAAACCAGAAACTCCACAGGAAAAAATCTCAGCTTGAAACATTTAAATTAGATCATCTCTCTCTCTTGTTTCCTAAACTCCCTGTCATTTGGCCCTGTGACACTTTTAAATATTTATCACAAACTAAATGATCTGAGTGCCCAGCACAGTCTGCACAAGATAAACATTACTTTCTCCCTCCCAATTATGACTTCATCTCCTCCTGTCTCCTCTTGATGTGTTTATAGCTATTGTGTTTTTCTTTTTCCCCATCAGGAGAGCTCTGAATAGGGAGCCAATATTGCCGAGATAGATGTGCATGCTTAACTTTACGCCTGTGAGTCACCCCAGCGAGCCCAAGCTTTGGGCTTATTTCTGATATGTCATGTATGATATTTTAGTATTACCTCTATAACAAGGGGACTTAGGAATTCACGGCACCTCTCCTACCAGCACAACAGCTGGTGCCAAGTACTTCATTACAAAGACTTTTGTATATGAGAATCCAAGCATTTACCTATTTCTGTATTGTTTAACTGTGATTTTGGCAATTTCCAGACAAAGGAAAATAAGGCTTTATGAAATGTCCTCTTGGGACTGGATATTTTGAAACACAATTTACAATCTGTACCTTTATCCTCACTCAGCTCTGTTTCTTCTGAAGATGATAGGCTGGCTACAGCTGAAGGTTTCATCTCATCTGTAAGAACCAAGGAAATGAAAGAGAAGTTATTCATTAGATTGCAAACTGATGAACCACTTTACTGAAAAAAAGTGTTATGCTGTATTGAGGCAAGATACTAGACCTGAATTTGATTTACTGGGCTTCCACCCATTCACTGGCCATTACTAGTCTGATTGTCTTCCCTAAGCCAGGGATAAACTTACATTACAATACTGCCAGATCAAGTCTGTATTTCAATTTCTCATAATACAGAGAGAGGAACAGCTATCAGTTTCACGGGTAGGCTGGTGTTGCTATTTGCTTTGAGATTCCTTTTTTAATTTAATCCATCTATTTTGAGAAAAAAACAATTAAGCTATTCTTAACTTTAATCATGTCCATGAATCCCATTGGAATCAAAATGATTACATGCAAATGCTTTCCTGAAAATAGAAGCTTTCATGAGTCAGGCCTGAAATTTAGCAAGTCCCTGAAAATCTGCAGCTTGGAGTTTTTCAATGGTAGAACATGCAGGTAAAACTATCGTAGTTAATAGATAAAACTAGTACCTGAATTTAATAGAATTTTTTATCTTTCACTGTTGTTTTTCTTGGCAATTTTTATAGTTCTAAAACCTTTATTAGCCTTTGTTTTCATTTCTAGCCTTTCATTTCTTTCAAAAGGCTTGCCTCTGATGATTCTGGCAAAATTTTTTTCCTAATATAGTCATTGAGTATTTTTAACTAGCTTGAAAGAAGAGCTCTGAACCACCTGCCATTTTGGTTTTCCGTGTGTTAACTGTGAAGTTCACTGACGACAGACTGGAGGCCAGACCTTAAAAAAACCACACAGGAATAGCTGAAAAAATTCAGGCCAGTCTTTATACACTATAACTGGCTTTTTCACTACTGTATAATAAGAATATATAAATCTTTATGTAATGGACTGGGTAAGAATACAGTGTCTCTTTTTTTCTCCTGCATTTTCTTTTGCAATATTCTAAATATACGATTTGTGATTTGCCACACTCAGATGAAGGTTATGCCTTTTGGTTTAGAAAATACAAATAAGATCTTTAACATTTGACGGGAATGCTCCTTACAGCGATCTTCACAGTGATGATTAGAAATGTCTTAGGCATACAACCGCGTATTCTTAGGAAATCCGGTCATTTCCTACTGCCAAGAAAGGGCACAGAAGCAGCAATCTAAACGTTCCTGATGATGTTTTGTCTCCACAATGAGTAGAGTGGAAAGCAGCAGCAGCAACTCATTAGCTGAATGTAACTAACTCGAGGTAATTGTACACCTCTCTGTTCTTGTCACTATGTGAACTCATGGGGCTAAATGTTAAGCCAAATAATTTTTTCCTGTAACACTGTGTGCCTGTGGCCGAGGAGGTGATTCATGGACTATGCGTAGGCACAACGCTATCTTTAGGCATGTACCTAAAACACGTTCCTGAAGTATGACATTTTCTGGATCTAGGACTTAAAATGTCTGGATCTTTTCTTTGACGCTCTTCATGAGAGTAACAAAACATGACTACCAATACGAGATAGCAAAAGAATGTACATCATGGCTCTGATAAACCAGCTCTGACAGCTCGTAACATAACAAGTCATAATGACGGTTTTGGGAAAAACACAATGCATTTAAGACACCTCCAGTAGCAAAGTAATAATTTAGAGAGGTACGTATTCCTTAGTTCTCTTGGGAAAAGTGAAATGTATCTCATTCAATCGAACTGTTTTGCAAATCAAAATACCAGGGAACTACACATCTCGTCAGAGTGAATATAGCTGACAAGCACAATGGGCTGTATTTGGCATCTGTAGACAGCAGTATAACCGGGTTTAACAGGAACCTCTGCAGTTTGAGCTAGGAGCTCCTAGCAGTACTAGCTCTTAGGCAAGCTAGCAGCAAGGCAGTACTTGGGACCGTTAAAAGCTCAATATTGCTCAGGCAAAGGTATGCCCCTGCCTACTCAGAGATTCAAAACAGAGTCTAGATTCAGACAGAGCAACTCACTCCTCCCTTCTCCCTGGTCCCTTTCTCCTGTTTAAAATATGACTAGCATAAAAGTGAAAAACCCAGGAAAGGAAACGTGATTGTCCTCCAGCACTTACAAAATACCCCTGCATGCTTATCTTGGGGAGGATAAAGGGCCTAGGTCCAAAGTTTGATGATGTCCATGGGAATCTTTTTTGTTCTGTAATACTGTGTGCCTTTGGCTTCACCTCCCACTGCCTGCCCCGCGCGAGGACATACAGAAGAGGTGATAAAGAGGACATGAAACATAGAAGGACTTCAAGCACTTGCGGACAGCATCAGCTGTTAACACCTAATTGCAGAAGCCTGACCTGTGGAGTGCAGGGAGAAACACTGCACTTCCACAAGCACAGTGCCCAGTGCATAGGACAAAAAGAAGGACCCTCATCAAATGAAATCCTCATACGGAAACAGCCACAATGCAGAAAGCAAACCAGGTAAGTCAAGAATCTAGGCCTTCTAAATTTTTTTGCTGCATTTACTGGCTGGCCTTCTTCAGCTCAATCTTCCACATATTGAAAACAATCTTCAATTCTGATTAAAAAAAAAAAAAGAGAAAAATTCTGAAGAAAACTGTTTCATGCTCTCTGGATTGAATACGTGTAGGCAACATCCTGCACTACAATGAGAAAAAAACCAACCAAACAAGAAAAGCATTGTGGTACATGTAATACTACACTAAAAGAAATCCTTAAGAAATAAGGGGATTTACAGAAATTTTGATTGTCACTTCAGCTCTTTTGATATCCGATTAATTCTAGTTGTCTTTTCCATTGAACAGAGTCGGGTAGGATGAAAAATACAACCAGAAACAGAAAAAAAAAAAAGAAAATCTATTGTGAACACAGAGTGACATTGTATTTTAAAATATTGAACTCAGTATAATTTATAAGCATGCCATCTGCAAAACCCACTGCTCGTGAACTCTGACATTCATTCGCAGTACATGCAATATCTTTCTGTATGGATTTAAATCTTCATAACCCCTGAGACTTGTGTAGACAATTTATTAAAACTTGAAAATACCCTTTAAAATCTTCAAGAAGTACAGTTTTCATCAAAAGAAGCCTGCTTCTTCTTCCTCCAAATTTCCTTTTCCCCCATTTCTATTCCATGCGGAAGGCTACTCTGTTGTAGACAGAGGGAAAATTATTTCTTTCTAGTTAGAGGATTAGCTAGAGGTAGTCCACCTTAAAGGGAGAATGTAGAGCTGGTAAGCTAAAGGGGGAAGTCTG